GTCGCTGTGACGTAATCGGTCTACAAATGCGTCCTCAGGAGGATGCAGCCCATGAATTTGGACACGACCATTGACACGTCGTTAGCCAATGAGTGTTTGGTGTCACAGTTAAATTCCCCTCCAATTTCAAAACACTGATAGGGGGAAAACACTCACCTCGACACTTGAGAACGGGATGCAGTAAACCAGAGGGTGGCGTCCTTACGTCCATCTCTGATGCTGAACAAGAAGCTTTTTAGTTTCTGGTCTTGCAAAGATTGGTGCTGGCCTGGACTGTGGAGGTGAACCTGCTCAGCAGCTTCCTCCTTCAACAGCTTAGTCTAACTGTGTGGTTTAAGATGAGGTAAGATGCCCTTATTCGTCACAGAGTTGTCATTGTCACAGCAGCAGAGTGGACAGGGCAGTATATATTAATGCTGTTAGAGTAATAACTAAGTGTTGTCATCAGTAAAGCTCCAGAAAGTAATTTATGAATTACAGATTCCACGTTATTAAAACATATAATAGAAACATAAGAGGACCCGAAACGCTGCCCTGAGGGACTCCACATGTCAGATGTTAACTTCTTGATCATTTGTCCTTGAAGCCTTGACCGTCTGAGGACAAATATGAGGCAAACCATTTCAGGTTGGACCCACACTGACCTCCCATCATTAAACCGATGCTTGTTTCCTCTCTTTGCCCCTCAGGCTTAATGTTTCAGTTCACAAAGTGTATCATGTGTATTTACTCTACATGCGTGTCCGTGTGTGTGGGCGCTCATATGTGCATGTGTGGTGGCGGCGTTTGGCGCCATGGGAACAGGCATATGGTGCTGATCGCATGCTAGGAAGGTCAGCTCCGACGAGAGGAAAAAGGAAGAGACGGAAGCTGAGACGGAGGCAGGTTTTGGACACGTTTTCAGAGTGACGCTCGAGAGAAGAAAGATGGAGGTGTTGTGTTTTAAAAATCATTAGACTGAACCTGGACAGGTACGCCCACCGCAGGTCAACTGGATAGGTCACATGACCTTTAGTCAGAAGGATGACAGACGCCTTCACGTTTCGGTAGAGGAAGAACATTATATATAGTATATACATATACATTGAAATTCAAATACATATAAATTGAAGTCTTTTTTTGTTTTTAACATTTAACCACATGAAAACATAAACAAAACAACAAACAAAACAACAACAGAAAAGAAAAAAGGAAAGACAGCTTCCAGTCCCATGGTTAATTCACCTTTGTATGTTGGGTCTATTTTCAATACTAACTATCAGTACACCCGCAAAAAAAGGACAATAAAATCTAATTCTTAAGTTATTCCATTACTGAGTGCCTACACAAACATACGACGCAG